GGGCTCGATCCCTAGTGTGGGGCCTGCAGGAGGCAACCGATCCATGATGTTCTCTCTCATCATTGATATTTCCATCCCTCTCTCTTTCTCTCTGAAATCAATAAAAATATATTTTAAAAAATAAGCCAGATACCTGGCTTTTCATTTGAAACACTGTTAAATATTGGCTCAAGGTTAATCAAAGACACAAAACAGGTCCACTTGTCTCCACCTCCAGGCCCCTCTCACATTCATTGACATCAGCAGCCCCCAGATCTGCGTAATTTAATGTATGCAACAAGGACTGAAATACTCACAGTATTAACTCAACAGATAAAAACTGACATCCTGCTAGTGCCAGAGAATACGGTAGTGCCCACAAGACAGGAGAGGTCCCCCACAGAACCATGCTGCAGTGTCAGATCAGGCTAGAATGTGGTGAATGGCATTCCCACAAAGTAGAATTCTGAGATTGTGTTCCATATTCTCCTGGAAGGGCAGATTAATGCAGACATTTCCGTGAACACCTACTATGTCCAGACACTCTGCTAGGAGCTCAGATGGTTTGGTCGATATTGAAAAGCTATTCCTACTTTCTGCAGAATACTTCCAGGCCAGGCGGACGGATTTGGGCTCATGTTTGAGTCCTAGCTTTGCTGTTTTCTAGCTTTGTGACATTAGACAAGTTACTTTGTTACTTAACCACTGTGCACCTTACTTGACTCATCTGAAAATAGACATAATAAGAGTGCCTGGCTGGCTAATGTAAAGCTGAAATAATATAACGTACATAAAGTGCTTGATATAGTACCTGGACCATCAGAACCATGCAGTCATCAATAAATATTAATTATTGCTACATAACTATTTAAATTATTCTTCAAAAGAAGGCCTTAAGAAGCACTGAAAAATCTCTATTCAAAACCACAACCAAGGACTTTGGCAAGATCTACCATCTACATAGCAATAGACTCATTAAAAAGAGCTCAGAGGGAAAAAGGAAGATACTATCTTTTGATCTGTTTATATTTAAGATACTCTAAAAAGCTTCCTTTATATTACAACATATTTTTCTTTTTTTTTTCTTCTTTTAAATATATTTTTATTGTTTCAGAGAGGAAGGGAGAAGGAGTAAGAGATAGAAACAGCAATGATAAGAGAGAATTATTGATCGGCTGCCTCCTGTACGCCCCACACTGGGGATCGAGCCCGCAACCCGGTCATGTGCCCTGACCAGGAATGGAACCCTGATCTCTTGGTTCCTAGGTTGATGCTCAACCACTGAGCCACCCTGGCTGGGTGACATATTTTTCTTAATATAGCAGCATGCATAGGTTGCTGAAAAGCCTCAATTCACCTACACAAGTAAAAGTGGGGGTGACAATACTGGGACAACAAAATGACACAGATGACTAACATTAAATAGATCTCCAGGTCACCTGGCACATCTGCAACTATGACTGCAACATCTGCATTACATTTTAGCTCATGGAATGTGCAGAAAAAACAAACCCTCTCCAGGAGTTTGTTCTCTCTCTCACTGTGGCTGGAGTTTTCTTCAGCAAGTCTCCTTTGCTCATACGGCCAAGCACATGTGCTTTTCCATCATTTCCTTCCCCTTCTGCGCTACTCACTTCTCTTGCCCTCTGATTCACTTGTCTGCCTAAGTTCCTTTCTCCCTTCACTTCCCCTTCTCCCACTTCTTGGCCACTGTATAAATACTGAAAACGATGAATAATGGAGTCACTGTTGGCCAACGGTCTACACATTTGGAAGAAAAGCAAAAGAATATATAGATACCTGTTAAATATGCATATATTTCAATGAGCCACTTCTAAGTACTTTTTGTATGACTGTCATCTTCAAATTGATATTAAAATAATAAGCAACTGCCTGGCCAGTGTGGCTCAATGGTTGAGCCTCAACCTGTGAACCTGGAGGTCGGGGTTTGATTCCTGGTCACAGCACCTGCCTGGGTTTGCAGGCTCCATCCCCAGTGTGGGGCTTGCAGGAGGCAGCCCATCAGTGATTCTCTCTCATCATTGATGTTTCTATCTTTCTCTCTCCCTCTCCCTTCCGCTCTGAGATCAATAAAAATATTTTTAAAAAAATAAAATAATAAGCAACTAAGATGGAATTTTAACTACTTATATTAACAGTACAATGATACAATGGAGAGAACATTGCTGATCATAAGCTGAAATGCAATTGCAGAAAAATCAGCTCACTTCATTATTCAAAGTCAACACAATCAGCTACTTCTAAATAGCAACACACAGAAGTCAAGAATTATAAATGAAACCTCAGACCCGGGAAATACAATTATAAAAAAACCCAGCACTTCACCAACAAGAGCTAGAGGGCACCGAGGTAAAACACTAAGACATGTGTTTTCTTCACAGAATGAATTTACTAAAGACAATTATATCAAAACCACCAAAAGCCCTTGCAAAGTAAAGCTCAACAGACAAATGTCAAAACTCCCCCATGGAAAGCAGAATTTGTCGCAAAAAGCAGAACAAGCGCTGATGAACTGCATCCCAGCGCAAGACTGGGGAACATTTTCAAGGCGCAAGTATCTCTGTGACAAGTCATACGGAGATTCTAAGTTTAAACACTATTTAAATATCATCCTAAGAATTAAAGAGATCATTACTCCTCTGTTGTTCAAAATGTGGTCCTCTGAAATTAGAAGCTTTTAGGCAACTTGTTAGAATTTCCTATCTTTAACTCAAAGATTCAACCTGTCAAAATTCCACATTTTTAACTTAGAGACTCAACCCAGACCAAACGAATCAGACTCTCAGAGGATAGAACTCAGGAGATGGACTACACCAGTGGTCGGCAAACTGCAGCTCGGAAGCCACATGCGGCTCTTTGGCCCCTTGAGTGTGGCTCTTCCACAAAATACCGACTTCTGGCCCTAACCGATTTGGCTCAGTGGATAGAGCGTCGGCCTGCGGACTGAAGGGTCCCAGGTTCGATTCCGGTCAAGGGCATGTACCTTGGCTGCAGGCACATCCCCACTGAGGAGTGTGCTGGAGGTCGCTGATCAATGTTTCTCGCTCATCGATGCTTCTAACTCTCTATCGCTCTCCCTTCCTCTCTGTAAAAAATCAATAAAATATATTTTAAAAAAATACCGACTTCTGTGCATGGGCCATGAAGTTTCAATCCCACTGTACGTGCGCGCCTGCACGTGGTATTTTGTGGAAGAGCCACACTCAAGGGGCCAAAGAGCCGCATGTGGCTCGCGAGCTGCAGTTTGCCGACCACTGGTCAACACCATCCAAAAACAAGCAAAGTGATTGTTTTTCACAGTAACGACCAAGAACTGCTAATATAGGTGATTCTTCTCAAATTGCCAATAAACAAGAGGGCCCATGAGGTTAAAGCCGTATTTGAAAGTTCTTTAAAATTACAGCATTTGCAGCCCGGTGGGCATGGCTCAGTGGTTGAGTGCCGACCTATAAACCAGGAGGTCAAGGTTCAATTCTTAGTCAGGGCACATGCCTGGGTTGCAGCCTCGATCCCCAGTAGGGGTCGTGCAGGTCGCAGCCAATCATGGTATGACTCGCTCTCATCATTGATGTTTCTATCTCTCTCCCCATCTCCCTTCCTCTCTGAAATCAATAAAAATATATATTTTTTAAAATTACAGCATTTGCTAAGCACCTAGTTTACTGGAGACAAGGGGAAGATGACCAGTTTGATTCTTGGACCTTCAGGCCAGTGTTCTTTCTGCCTCACCGGGCTGCTAACTAGACTCAATGGGAATTCAGAGCTCAAGGAAAACTTAGAGAAATATAACAGAGATCGAAGTGACAGTCCTGAACAGTTTCTGGACTTAACAGGGACCTTCCCCTATGACACACTTCCTGCTTCCAGCCCTGCTCTTTCCACACGGAAAAAACATGAATGGAATGAATGCTCAGAGAGGAAACCGGAGCGGAGTGTAGGCATCGCTACATCATTTCATTTGTGCATTCATCCCACACGAGGGACTTTTAATGTCTGAGGCCCCAAGCGAATGTAAGCAGAGTCCTTTTGCCAAACTTCAAGGAGAAAATTGAACCAGTTCCGAAGGCCGGGAAGGAGATGGGAGGGAACACTCAAACTAAAATACAATTGTGGTTTTTAAAAATGCTCACAGATGCATCCAGAAGAGTTTGTTCCCTCATCGCTTCCTCTGGCCTTCGAGCTTTCAGCTCTTGTTGGAGCCGTTCGTTGTCGAGCACAACGACCTGTATCCTATTTTTCATTCCAGAGAGTTCCTCCTGTGGAAAAGCAGAAACAGACATCAAACACATGAAGCGTTTTTATTTGTTGATTACGAGACAATCCAACATGGTATAATAAAGCATGGAAGACTTACGCTCTCTCCATTTTCTGAAGTACTATAATTATATTTATACAAACAAATGTTAATTAACAAACAAAGATAAGATTGGCGGTGTGTAGTAGAGGGCCTGCTAATGGCCTTTTCATAGAAGTGTGTGGTCTCTGACAATTTTTTTCTCCAAGGGATTAAGGCTTAGAGAAAGGCTTTAATTAAAGGGGTTATCCAAAAGACTTTTAAGAATGAGGCAGACTGCTGAAAACTAAGGTAAGATATATTATTACTCACTAGAGGCCCAGTGCACGAATTCGTGCACGGGCGGGGCCCCTCGATCTGGCCGGCAATCGGGGCTGATTGGGGCCGGCTGGGGGGAGGGACTGTGGGAAGTTGGCCAGCCAGGGGAGGTTGGCTGTGGGAGCGCACTGACCACCAGGGGGCAGCTCCTGCATTGAGCATTTGCCCTTTGGTGGTCAGTGCCCATCATAGCGACCAGTCAGCCAGTCGTTTGGTGGACCAGTTGTAAAGGTCGCTTAGGCTTTTATATATATAGATGCTTGAATACCAATAACTTGTTGAAAACTGTCATAGGACTAAATAGTTAACACAGGGCTCTGAGATTAAAAGGCCTGGAAAGTTACAATGATTATCTGTAAACTGGTAGGCAGATGGAGGGAAATTATAAGTAAAATACTTTGGTGGAAAATTCTGAAAGAGTTTTTTATTAGCCTTGAAGGGTATAATATGGGGAATTACATATAAATAACAATTAGAATAGCTCTTGAATGGCATCTCATTTTCTGAAAAATGCCAAAAATTATCGATACATTGATGGTACAATTCTTAATCTTCATTACTAGCGTACCAAAAACTATTCGTGACATATGCAAATTCCATTCAATTATTCTATTCAGAAAAGAAAGCCAAAAGTGTAATTGAAAGCTGTAATTTAAAAAACATTGCAGACTTCCAATTTTTGATCTGATGTTTAATAAGCTTAGAAGATATCATTCCCACTTTTACAACAGGAGCTAAACAAGCTGAAAAATCAACCCCTCTTCTTAGAATCATCAGAACTGAAATCACAGGGAAAACTTTTTTGCCCCCAATGTTGGAGACGGACAGGTGTTCCTGAAACCACAACCCACCAGAGCTGAAGCCTCTGAGCAGAAACCCGGGAATGAGTGCGGGTGAAGGGAATTTTATAGACAGGACAGGCAGTATCAGGGAAGGGGCCCATGGGGGAGGAGACGGACATGCACAGAGGATAGAGGAATGTTCAAGAGAAGGGGAGCAGGAAGGGGGGCGCCAGGTGGGCTTTGAACTTTGAAAGGGATATCTGCAGGAGAGGGACCAATTAGGAGAGCACAGGGGACATAACTTAAGGAAGGATCCAATTAGGAAGGAACCTGAAGAGACAAAGAGCTCCCAGCATTTATAAACCCAGAGACTAAGAGACTCAGAGAAACTGAACTAGATTTTTTTCTCAGTAGAGAGAGAGCAAGAGAGAGAGAGGTTTTCCCATTTAGGGACCCCTCCAAGGGGATCCCCTTTAAGGACCCCTCCTGTGGGGAGAGTTTGTATATGCTTCCAAAAATCTTCCACATCTTTATTTAAAATCTTTTAGTCCACCAATTTTATGCTTCAAACTTCGTAGGACAAGACCCCACAAGAACAGACTGCTCACCCGAACCCCACCTAACACTGAGCTGGGAAACATAATGTGTCATTGACGAAATGCTCAGTGTAGACAAGGCTGCGCGTTAAAACTCCGGAGGGACCCAGTGTTGGGGGGAATCCTACACCTCTGTGAATTTTATCTCTAGGACACCAGATTCTTACAGCTAAGACCAGAGAACAAGCCCCTGTGGAGGAGAGGGGACGCAGCCATTCTGAAATATGCCCAGAGCCTCTGTTCTCCCTAACCGCCTGCCGGAGGAGGAACTATTTTATCAGAGTCTAACTAACTGGTTTTCTCCGGTCCTAACCGGCCTGGGGAGGGAGATACCCATCTCCGGCTCCCTCCAGCCTTCCTGTCTCACTGCAGGGAGGGAAGACGGACACTTGAGAAAGTCATGGCCAGGGGCAAGGCTGACTAAAAACCTGAGCCCTAATCACAGGCTCCCAGGGCCACCACCACATCAAAGGGCCTCCTATGTAATGGCAGGGGAATGCACTAAATAACAGTGCATCTTACACCACATTCTAGAAGAATCCCCATGGGAAGCCCTACGGCACCAAGGAGACAAAAGCCAAGAGACTAGAGGCAATATTGGCCTCTGCCACCTACAGCAACAGCAGAAGGCACACACAGCCTAACTCCCAGCCAAATAAACATGAAATCTCACACTAAAATGTCCACTTCCTTCAGTTCCTTTTGTGGACGAAAGGGGCCATATGCTAACCTGACTAGTTCAGGGAAGGCCTGCATGGTGGGTGTGCCAACTCAAAGACCTAAAATAACCACAAAAGGTGGTCTGAAAATTAAATACTCAACTACAAACAGGTTATGGTGGTTAGTCATGTCCTAGGCCAGTATTTTCCCTGACAAAGATCAACTTAGATCTTTACTGAGCCCGTCTGTCTTTTTGCCTCTAAGATAATATATCTGGGAGATGTCTGGGTAACTTGTAACTTCCTTTTTTTTTTCCGACCCCTCAAGGCACAGCAAATGGCAGCAGGACATTCCCTCGTTGTTATTGTTATCAAGTTAATTGTCAACTGTTAATTATGTAAAACTATCCTGTACCCATCTGTGTAAAAAGAAGCATATGTCCATCATTTCACTTTTTATCCTATCCCAGAGGTTTCGCCACCCCTTTTATTTTCTCCCACCTCCTTAATCTATCACCAATGAATTTCATGTAACCCACTTAAGTATTTTCCTTTTAAATTCATAAAAACAAGGTATGAACTCCTCATTCTCCGGAGCATTATCTCAATTCGTTGAGGTTCTGCTTCCCGGCATATATCGACAGTTTGGCTCAAATAAACTCACAAAATTCTTTTTTTTTAAAATTAAATCTTTATTGTTCAGATTATCACAGTTGTTCCTCTTTTTTCCCCCCATAGCTCCCCTCCACCTGGTTCCCACCCCACCCTCCGCCCTCACCCCCCCCACTGTCCTCATCCATAGGTGCACTATTTTTGTCCAATCTCTTCCCGCATCCCCCACACCCCTTTCCCCCCCAAGAATAGTCAGTCCACTCCCTTTCTATGCCCCTGATTCTATTATAATCACCAGTTTATTCTGTTCAGATTATTTATTCACTTGATTTTTAGATTCACTTGTTGATAGATGTGTATTTGTTGTTCATAGTTTGTATCTTTACCTTTTTCTTCTTCCTCCTCTTCTTAAAGGATACCTTTCAGCATTTCATATAATACTGGTTTGGTGGTGATGAACTCCTTCAGCTTTTCCTTATCTGTGAAGCTCTTTATCTGACCTTCAATTCTGAATGATAGCTTTGCTGGATAAAGTAATCTTGGTTGTAGGTTCTTGGCATTCATCACTTTGAATATTTCTGGCCACTCCCTTCTGGCCTGCAAAGTTTCTGTTGAGAAATCAGCTGACAGTCGTATGGGTACTCCCTTGTAGGTAACTGACTGTCTTTCTCTTGCTGCTTTTAGGATTCTCTCTTTGTCTTTTGCTCTTGGCATTTTAATTATGATGTGTCTTGGTGTGGTCCTCTTTGGATTCCTTTTGTTTGGGGTTCTCTGCGCTTCCTGGACTTGTAAGTCTATTTCTTTCACCAGGTAGGGGAAGTTTTCTGTCATTATTTCTTCAAATAGGTTTTCAATATCTTGCTCTCTCTCTTCTTCTGGCACCCCTATAATTCGGATGTTGGTATGCTTGAAGCTGTCCCAGAGGCTCCTTACACTATCTTCGTATTTTTGGATTCTTTTTTCATTTTGCTTTTCCAGTTGGGTGTTTTTTGCTTCTTCATATTTCAAATCTTTGACTTGATTCTTGCAATCCTCTAGTCTGCTGTTGGAACTCTGCATAATATCCTTTATTTCAGTCAGTGTATGCTTAATTTCTAGTTGGCCCTTTTTCATAACCTCAAGGGTCTCACTAGATTTCTTGAGGGTCTCACTACATTTATCAGCAGTCTCACCAGTCTTTTTAAGGGTCTTACTAAATTTATTGGCGGTTTCTAGAAAGTTCTTGAAAAACCTTAAGAGTGTGGTTTTGAACTCTATATCCAGTTGTTTGCTTTCCTCCATTTCTGTCATTTGTGACCTGTTTCTTTGTCTCCACATTTTTTATGCTTCCCTGTGTTGGTAGAGTGGCTTTGTGTGCTAGGTGTCCCATAGGGCCCAATGGCTCAGCCTCCCCAATTACCTGGGGTGGACACTCTTGGTGCACCCCTTTGTGGGCTGTGTGCACAGTCTTGTTGTAGTTAATCCTTGATTGTTGTAGGCATCACTGGGAGGAATTGACCTCCAGGCCAATTGGCTGTGAGAATCGGCTTGTCTACGGTGGGAGAACTTCTGTGCTGAAGACACCCTTATGAGGCAAGACTTGCTTCAGTGGAGCTTTGGTGCTCACTGAGTCTGCCCCCTGAGTGTGACCCTTATGGATCTGAGGAGTTGTAATTGGATGGTCCCACTCTGACCACTGGGTACACTAGCTCTTGGATCTAAGGAGGTGCTAATTTAGCCTCTGCCTGAGGCTACCCAGCAGGAGCTAAGAGGAGATCTGCAGATTCCCCTTCCTTGTTTGGGGTTTGGAGGTGCCCAAATGAGGCCCAGGTGTGAAGCAATGCAAGCTGCTATGGGGCCTTGGGCCTTCTCTTAGAAGTTCTGGGTCTGTCTGGCCCAGCTGCAGTTTGTTAGGTAATTTTCAGATTGCAAAGGGCCAGGGCATTCATATGCAAAAGCCTCTGCCACAGTTGGGGTGGGGCAGGGTCTCAGGGGATCAACAGGGCAGAGCAAGCAGCTATGGCTGATCCTCAGCCCAGCCCTAAGGGGCCCTGCGTCTCAGTGTCCTGGTAATCGCTGCAAACACCTTTGAGAGAAAGCCGCCCTCAAGTTCCAAGTTCTGCCCGCTGCCAGACAGTCCAGTTTCTCCCTGTATGAATCTGGGTCCCCAGAGACTCACCCGGAACTGGAGTTCAGAGCAGTCGGGGGCTTGTGACTCCCTCCCGATTCAAAAAGACAGCCGCGTCCTTAGTTGCCAGCCCTCGCCACATGTGCCTCCGTACCTCACCTCCTCTGAGTCTCAGTGTGCTTTTCTCTTTCCTTCTAGTTGTAGAATTTCCACTCAGCCAGCCTTCCTGTGGTTCTGGATGATGTCCGTTTTGTCTTTTAGTTGTATTTTTGAATTTGTTGTGGGAGGCAGCAATTTCCGGTGTTTACGTATGCTGCCATCTTGGTTTCTCCAGGCAAAATGTCACAAAATTCTTTACAGGTCTGAATGCTTTTTATGTTAACACTTTGACCCAGTATATCATGTTTAACATTCAATGAAAAATTACAAGATGCACTAAAAGACTTAAAACAGTTTAAAGAGACTAAGCCAGTGCAGAACCAAATTTGGATATGGCTAAGGTGTTGGAATTATCAGATTAATTAGCTCCAAATAATTAGCATTAATATGCTAAAGAGTCTAGTGGAAAAAGTGGACTACATATAAGAACGTAAGGGTAATGCAAGCAGAGAAATTAAATATGTAAGACAGAATCAAAAGGAAATGCTAGAAATAAAAAGCATGACAACAGAAATGAAGAGTGCCTTGATGGGCTCATTAATAGACAGGACACATCCAAGGAAAGAATTAATGAGCTTGAAGAACTGTCAATAGAAACTGCTCAAAATGAAATGCAAAGAGAAACAAAGAATGAAAAAGACCAGATTATCCAAGAATTATGGGGCAATTACAAAAGGTGTAACATATATGTAATGGGAATTACAGAAAGAGAAGAGACCAAGGAGAAGAAATATTTGAAGCAACAATGATCAAGAATTTTCCAAAATAAATAATAGGCCCCAAATCACAGGTCCAGGAAACTCAGAGAACACCAAGCAGGAAAACACCAAGAAGTCTACACCCAGCCATAGCATATCAAACTGTAGAAAATCAGAGACAAATAAAAATTGAGAAATATTGCAGTTGACCTGCCTTACAAGAAATACTAAAAGAAGTTCTTCAGAAACTTCTTCCCAACTTTATCTCTAGATAATAATCCCAATCAAAATCCCAGCATGTCATTTTGTTGATATTGGCACACTGGTTTTAAAGTTTATGTAGAGAGGAAAACACACACACACAAAAAAACCAACAACCCAGAATAGCCAACACAATACTGACGGAGAAGAATGAAGTCGGAGGACTAACACTACCTGACTTCAAGACTGTCTATAAAGCTACAAAAATTAAAACAGCATCGTACTTGCAAAAGAATAAAGAAATAAATCAGTAGAACAGAATAGTGATCCCCCAAATAGACTCACAATATAGTCAACTGATCTACGACAAAGGAGCAAAGGCAATTCAATGAAGATGGTCTTTGAACAAATGTTTCTGGAACAACTAGATATCCACATGCAAAAAAACAAAAAAAAACAAAACAACGAATCTTACACAAAAACTAACTTAAAAGGGAGCATCGGTCTGAATGTAAAACACAAAATTAGAAAACGCTGAGAAGAAGAATAGAGAAAATATTGGCGACCTTGGGTTTGGCAATGATTTTTAGAGATAATATCAAAAGCGTAATCCACGAAAGGAGAAAATTGATAAGCTGGGCTTCATTAAAATTAAAAACTTCTGCTCGGTGGAAGGCCCTTGCTAAGAGAATCAAAAGACAAGCCACACAGTGGGAGAAAAGAATTGCAAAAAGACCTGTCTGATAAATGACTGGTATCCCAAATAAAAAGGAACTCTTAAAATTCAACAATAAGAAAATGAACAACTCTATGAAGAAATAAGCAAAACACCTCTACAGATACCTCATCAAAGAAGATATATGAATGGAAAATAAGCATATGAAAAAAGTTCAATATTACATGTCATCAGAGGATAATTGAAATTAAAACAATGAGATATCAATATACACCTCTAATACTCTAAAATCCAAAAAAATGACAACACTAAATGGGTCAAGATATAATTTAAAAAGTTATCAGTAACTACTATAAAAATATCACATGACCTGAAGCATTGATATTGAAAAATGAAAGAAGAAAAACTAAAACCTTAACATACTTTGGGAAGTCAGAAATGCTCCAATGGCATTAATGGTATTACTAACCTCCACAGAGTCAAGCAATATATAACTGTCTATTATTTCAAGCCATCAGTGACACATTTGGTCTCTTGATCATTGTTTACTAGTATCCCCATGAGCCATTCCCATCATTCAAAGTCAAGGTAAGAACCTTTATACTGACAATGGAGCAGGTTTAGTCTAGTAGCGTAAGTCCCTGCCTGCTGCACCCCAGCTTCAATAGGTTGACAAATGTGGGGGAATGACCGGGATTACTATTCCGAAGCCTCTTCAATCAGCTGGGCTAAAGTAATTGGAGTGGATAGAAAAATTCTGAAACATGAGATCATATTATCAAAATGTTAGACATAATTGAGTTATGAACTACTGAAAAATTCAGCAATCAGAAATGGTTGCCCTGGCCAGTGTGGCTCAGTTGGTTGCTGGTTTGATTCCCAATCAGGACAAGATCCGGAGTTGGGGGAGTGGAGGAAGCAGCCAATTATGTTTTACTCTTCACACTGATGTCTCTCTCTCCTTATTCCTTCCTCTCTCCCAAAAAATCAATAAAAATATTTTTAAAAAAAGAAATGGCATGGTCAAGGGTATCATTCCCAAGCCTAATACATATTAGTCTTTCCAATCATAAGCATGGCGATTGTCAATATAATTGCTATCAACATGAAGACTAATAATAGTAAATTTTTGCACAAGGAATTATTAATATGAACTTTAATTTAGGTAGGTACGTTTTGTTGTTGTTGTTTTGTTTTTTATAAATTTAAAATATATTCTATTGATTTTTAGAGAGGAAGGGAGAGGGATAGAGAGACAGAAACACCAATGATGAGAGAGAATCATTGATCGGCTGCCTCCCGCACACCCCCCACTGGGGATCGAGCCCGCAACCCAAGCATGTGCCCCTGGCCAGAATCGAACCCAGGACCCCTCAGCCCGCAGGCTGACGCTCCATCCACTGAGCCAAACCGGCCAGGGCTAGGTTTACGTTTTTAATGAGAAACTTACCTTGCAGAACTTGACTTCTGCCTCTAAATGATGAATGTATTGGGACTGATCATAGATGATAGGGACAAGATTATGAGCAGTAGGCATATTGGTTTCCTCATATTCTGATGACCTCTAAAGAAAAAACAACAAATTAAGCATGTTTGGGTTTATCAAAGAGTCAATGAATAGCATCTCCATATCAATTTAGCACTGACGTCATATAAACACAGACTGAATCACATGCAGCTACTAAGTATTTATTTCTCTATCCTACAAATTCCACAAATAGGTAAGATTCAGGGATATGAACATTTTTTAAAGATGGAAAGTGCCAGTGGTTATAAAAAGCACATGGCAAGTGGAAAAATGGCAAGCAGTATAGTTAGCCTGGAATGGACTGTCTGTTTGAGCCATCTATCTATCTATCTATCTATCTATCTATCTATCTAAAAGCCTAATATGCAAATTATCCCTCAGGAATTGGACCAGGAGACCTGGAGTTCAATCGCTCGCTATGACGTGTACTGATCACCAGGGGGCAGTGCGGAATGAAGGAAGGCCCAGACCAACAGCTGGCAGCTGGGGAAGGAAGGCCCTGATCGCCAGCCAGGCCTAGAGACCCTACCCGTGCATGAATTTCATGCACCGGGCCTCTAGTTTTGAAAGAAAGGGAAAGTCCCTTCAAGAAACCTCCATTGAATAGCAGTGGCAGCTAAGGCTGCAGGACCACTCCCTGAAGGAGGGACTCTTTAGACAGGTGTTTGATGCCGTGTGTGTGTCATGAGTAAAATTCTGTCTTTACTACTATTTCGGCCATTTAAACCTGGCAAATCCTTCCCTCACACCTCCCTTCACACCTATCTTAGCCTTTAGCCTATCACACTGCTTCAATCAGGAGTAATACACTCTGTCAAAGCAATGGCAATAAAATCCAACTTCAGAAGATATAGGGTCTAACTTCTAGTATCACACAATTTTATAACCATGTGTTTTTAAATGTAGAATAAGATTACAAACTTCGGTTTTGACATTCACAATAAAAGCGTATTACAAAGGACAGCTGGAATTATAATTAAGTAAATTCTAAAAACGATCAAACACAAATATAGCCCTCTAAAAAAGAAATGGCTAATCTTTTCCACATATTGTCCCTTTTTTATATTTGCTAATAGTTGCAAAGTAAATTCTCTAAACTATTTCCTCACTCATGTTTCTCAAGTGAAGAATAAAATAAAAAACCAGGATTCCCTCTGCCAGAGAAGTCTCTCTTCTGCAGCTAAAATCATCAGGGGAAAAATAATTCCTTCTTATGCTGTATTTACACTATCAGAACGCCCTGCTCAGAAGTGGCCTACCACATTTCCTACTAAAATGACACTGCACAGTTAAAACACAGTTAGAAAAATAATGCTTTCGTTGGGTTGCAAATGTTGACACTTACCAAAGGGGACATTTTTCTTCTTCTTGATGGAGACACCTCATTTTCCTTAGTTGCTTGTTGGTTCAACAAGGCTTTGAGTTGCATAACTACAAGGCAGAAGCAATGTGTTTATTAACCTTATTGGCGATCCATGGTTTATCGTCACCCAGCCATTCTCCCATCCATCTAACAAATATTGTTTAAACACACATTATGCATCAAGAACAGGGGATGCAAAGCAAAAGTGAGAAAATCTCGCCCACTTAGGAGCTAAGACTCCACTGGGCAAGAATGATACACTAATAGATATAAAACAATATAAGTTTGTATGTAGACTTAGAGCCATAGATAGTGTTACAAAAAAGAGGAAGCACCTAATTGTACCTGTTTTCACAGAGAAGATAACACTGAACAGGAGATCGCTAAGCAGCAAAGGGGGAGGCAAATTCCAGTAGAAGGCATGCATATCAAAAGCATAGGAGCATGGCCAGTAGGTTGGTCTGACTAGAGCATGCCTTGCAAGATGGATGTTGGAAGGAGGCTAGAAAAACGAGGCTGGAAGGTCGCTGGGAGCCATTTATGGAAACGTTGCTATGATACACTAAGAATTTTGGACTCTGGCCTATATAGGCATTGGGAAGTCAAAGGGAAAAAAATTAAGCAAGGAATTGCATTAGCTGATTTGTGTTCCAGGGATAAAATCCTAGCAGTGGAGTGGAGAGGGGCTGGAGTTGTTACCATACGGAGTTTAAAGAATTCCCTGTGGGTCACCCGGGTGAGGGCTGCATCCAGCTCACCGGCATGGCTGTGCTGTAGCTCACGCCAGGCAGTCCCAGTGTCCTCACTGCCTCCTTCAGCGCTCACAGGAGGCTCCGGTGCACCACCTCTGATAGCGGCATTGTATTCTCTCAGGCGGTGAAAGCTTCTCCTCACACATTCTGCAATAACCAGGCGAGAGTGAGGCTGCAGAAGTCTGGGCGGACACAGGCACCCACACTCCACAGGGCAGTTTCTAAGGGAGAAGCGATCCTTCTGAAACTTTATGGGAAAAGGCCCAGTTCTGCTTCTGGCTTGCTGAGGAATGTGCTGGAGGAAGCGAGGGAAGGTTAAGTTCAGGGTTGAAGATTAGACTTGATCTCTAAGGTCACGGACACCTCAGTGGTTGATACTCACTACATACAGTACAGTGGGGCCTTGACTTACGAGTGTCCCGACTAATGAGTTTTTCGAGATACGAGCCATCTCTCGGCCGATTTTTTGCTTTGAGTTGCGAGCTAAAATTCGGGTTACGAGCCAGCTTCAGATACCCCACCGCTAGTTGGCGCAGCGAACGTCACAGTGAACGCCACAACATCAGCCCAGCATCACATGTCTCACTCGTTCACTGTAGATTTGACATAAGAGTAATTTGAGTTACAAGCTCCGTCACGGAACGAATTAAACTCGTAAGTCAAGGCCCCACTGTACTACCAGCAGGAGGACTGAATGGGAGAGCTCCTCTCTAACCCACTAACCAAGGAGACAAAGAGCCAAAGACTCCCTCATCCTCCTGGGGACGCTGGGCTGGGTGGCAGAACCACAAGAGGGACTCCACCACACCCAGCACCTGCCCAGGGAAGCCTCCTTATCCCTGTGGGCCCGACGGCCCTCCCCCGGCCAGAGACAGCCAGCTGCCTGGCCGAGTTTTCAATCAGGATTTGAATAACAAGATGCTTTCAGTGGCAGCCCCTGTAGACCAGCCCTTCGCATGTACTGCTGGCTGAGGACATCTCGTGTAGCAATTCCTGGTTAGTGCAACTGACCAACACTAGCATTGAGGCTCACACTCACCAGCACATACTTCACATACAGTTTAAAACAAAGTATTTTAAGGCATATGACTATCGTAGTTCATCTCTAAAAATGGTCCCAGGCCCCAGCCTCACACCCTTCTCTCCCACGTTGTTGAAACTGAGCAGGTCTGTAAGGCATTAACCAACACAATGCGGTACAAGTTACCCCGGGCCAGAGCAGGCCTCGGCTTTAAAGTGCTGGTAGGTTCTGCTTCCTCCCTGTTGGACGGTTGCTTTGTGAGCCCTGAGCCACAAGTAGGAAGTCTGGCTACCCGCTGGTGACACTGTGAAGAGGCCTCATGGGAAGGAGAGGCCCCGAGACCACATGAGAAAGAGAGGAGCCCAGCCCTGCCAACAGCCCCCTGGACCCTCCAGGGTTGTTGCTTTCAGCCACCAAGGTTTGGGGTGGTTTGTTATATAGCAATACATAACCGGAATAATTATCAGGGAAACACTAGCCCCAAAACACTTTCAGCAAAGGATCCAAGTCTTACATTCATAGCAGAACTATGCTAATGACAGCAGTGATATATGACTAATAGTTCTATTCTACTTCAGTGGGTATTTTTACATGAATATCAACTGGAGCACCAAGCAACCAATTGGTAATTTCATTGATTTCAGGTTTAAATTTCTTCTAATCTCATGATTAAATTCGCTGGTTTCAACCCAGAAAACTGTAAATATAACAAAAAATGTTCTTTGTACATTAGAGGTGGGGGCCAGATTTCAGTCACCATTTTCAAATTTTGACATCTGTATTTGAAAATTATTTTTTAACTCATTAATTAATTTTATATATATATATATATACATATATATACATATATATGTATGTATATACACTAATAAAAGAGAAAGACGCAAATTGACCATACCTTTGCGACGCCCACCAGCCAATCAGGAGTGAGTATGCCAATTAACCCAACAAAGATGGTGGGTTAATTTGCATATGCAGGCGTTCCTCATGCCCCAGCCACTCTGGGCCTCTGGGCAGTGTGGGAAGGCGGAGAGGCAGCAAGGCAGCTCCGGGCCAGAACGAAGGTGGTGCCGGCAGCCAGGGGAAGGAAAGCCCATTCTTGCATGCATCTTCATGCACTGGGCCTCTAGTATATATATATTAGTATACAATTATGTTAGAAAAAGATGAATTCCCACTCAGGTTCATGCACACCTATTATCTGTTTCAAATGGATTCCATTTAAACAATTCTTAAGTTCTTCAGAGGAGGCAGTACTTTCCCTAAGTAAGAACAACTCACAACAATGATGGCAATGAGGTTCTTACTCTCTTTTCATCCAGTCCCTTCTTGTGTCCTCATGAGAAAAACTCCTCTTCCTTGCTTCCTATATGGTAATGCTAAGAAAGCCACAAAACACCTACGTTTTCATTACCAATTATTGCTGGAAAAATATTTATAAACATATATCCTCCAGGACGTTGGGAAACAGATTCCTTTTTCTCCAAGCTCATTCATTTCAAATTATAGAAAAGAAAAAATAACCATAACTTACTAGAAGAAAATACACCCTAAAATACACCCTATATTACAAAATATCTAATAAAGGTTCTTCCCTTACAGAAAGTCATTTTCTACCTGGATTAATCTAAAGAGGACAGGTCTTTAGGTCAAGGTTCAACACTAATCTGATGAAATGCTATTACTCATCTATACAACAGACCTGGTGAATCTATCACTACATTTCTCTCCACACCAACCCTGTTGCCACACAGACCTTTCTCTAAGGCTTAGAGCAGCCGTGGGCAAACTACGGCCCGTGGGCCGGATCTGGCCCGTTTGAAATGAATAAAACTAAAAAAAAAAAAAAAAGACCGTACCCTTTTATGTAATGATGTTTACTTTGAATTTATATTAGTTCACACAAACACTCCATCCATGCTTTTGTTCCCGCCCTCCGGTCCAGTTTAAGAACCCATTGTGGCCCTCGAGTCAAAAAGTTTGCCCACCCCTGGCTTAGAGTCTAACTCTAAGCAGTGGTTCTCAACCCTGGCTGCACATTAGAATCACATGGGAAAAAACAAACCTCCACATATCGAAAGATTAACCCAAAGGAAAACAAATGCTATTCAAAAACAATAAATGTTTGTCGCCATGAGCAGACGGAATGGAATAGGACGTGACGTAATATCGGCTACAGATAGTTTAACATGCATAAAAATTTAAATCACGTCAAGGTCATATTCCTAAATCGAGTCGTTGGCTTGTTTCATGCGCACTACCCATCTTTACTTTCTATATCTTGCACGCGCATGGCTAACTTAACAGAGTTACTTTAGTGAGAGAAGTACATGAAATTACCAACCACAACACCCACTACTCT